CTATATACCGGAGGTGGCGGGTTCAAACCTGGCCCTGGCCAAAAACTGCAACAACAACAACAAAATAATAATAATAATAATGTGAAGTTCTCTTATCTTGGCTCGGTGCCCATAGCTCAGGGGTTAGGGCGCTGGCCACATACACCAAGGTAGGCAGCTTCAAACCTGGCCCCGGACTGCTAAACAATTTCAATTGCAACAACAACAAAATAGCTGGGCATTGTGGTGGTCACCTGTAGTCCCAGCTATTTGGGAGGCTGAGGCAAGAGAATCGTTTAAGCCCAAGAGTTTGAGGTTGCTGTGAGCTGTGATGTCACAGCACTCTACTGAGGGCAACATACTGAGACTCTGTCTCAAAAACTAACTAAATAAATAAATAAAGTTCTCTTATCTTTATGTTCTGTGGCCATTTTGAATAGGGGCTGGAATTTATCCAGAAAAGGGACCCCTTTCAATTCAAAGTAGTCTCTAGAGGCCTGATAGAGGAGAAACTGGAAGAAAACCTTGATAATTCTCCCTTATCAATTTTCCATGGACTGATCAACCCATGTAATTCAGTTATGGTCCAGGGGAATCTAATCTTTTTTTTCCTGCCGCTGATTCGAAGAATAAAAGTTGTTCTCAGGCATATGTTAAATATACAAACACTAACAAAAGCTGATGAGCAAACAAAAGGTCTGTGCTAATTTTTGTGATAGCTAACACCACAGATAAGCAAAACAGGCCTCAAAATAATTCACCTGTGGCCTGTGGGTTGAAGGTCTGATACCCCTGACACCTTAAAATTCAGAGCTGTCTTAGAAGGCAGTAGGCTCTTCAGTAGCATTGGTTGTTTTAACTAGATCACAAATTGTCAAATGGTCAAAACCTAGCTGCTGTGAATAAGGTAAGGTCTGTCTAGTTTCAACTTGGAAATACCCAGAGTCAGGATGTTAAAAATAAAGATCCAAAAAGATATAATCTCAGGTGACTGGGCCAGTGCTCAGAAATGGAGAAAACTAGATTAGGTTAAGTACACAGACTAAAAGATATTTATTTGTTAAAGAAGCATACCTTGTGAGAAAAAATATAGAATCCTGGTGAATCCAAGTCTGAATATGAAGTTGTTTCACAAAGACAATTAAGAATCATATTTAATAGTGGAGGAATAATCTCTGCTTACAGAGGACTCTACCTCCACTATGGTTTTGAACATGTAATGATGACAGCTACTACTTATAAACATTATGAGCTAGACAGTGGGAAAAAATGTATATGTATATTTCATTTATTTAATCATTACATTATTTATTTATTTATTTATTTTTGCAGTTTTTGTCCTTGGGGGCTGGGTTTGAACCTGCCACCTCCAGCATATGGGGCCAGTGCCCTACTCCTTTGAGCCACAGGCGCTGCCCTCATTACATTATTCTTATGATGTAGGTTCTTCTATAATAACCATTTTAAAGATGTACAAAGTAAGACTAAAAAAGCTTAAATACTGTATAAGGACATGGCTACTAAACAGCCAAATCAAATTCGAAAATCAGGCTTTCTGTCTGACTCCAAAGCTCTACTCTAAATTTGGGTTTCTGGAACAACAAATCATAGAAAAGTCCTAAAATTATTTAAGTATGGCAAATAAAACACTATAAAAAGAAACTGATTACTACAAAAATTTTTGAAGAGGAAGAAAATTAGAAAATTGACTAATATGTGAAAATTAAACAATATACTCCTTAACAGCCAATGGGTCAAAGAAATTGTCAAAAGAAAAATTAAAAGTTAAAAGTTACCTTGGAACAAATTAAAATGGAACCAAAACTTATGGGATGCAGTTCTTAACAGTGAAATTTATAATGATCCATGTCACCAACAAAAAGAAAGAAATATCTCAAACATACCCCGACCTCATAATATAGCTAAAGAAACAAGAAAAATAACAAACTCAGTCCAAAGAAAGCAAGAGGAAGCTAATAATAAGATCATAGAAAAGAAATCACAGATGACAAAAATTAGGAAAGATCAATCAAATTATGAGCTGATATTTTGACAGAATAGACAAGATTGACAAAAATTTAGCTAGATCAAGAAAAAAAGACAGACTTGGGAAACACCCAGGATTTGATGACTTTACAGCTGAATGTTACCAAACATGTAAGAATTAACACTAATCCTCTAAAAACTCTTTCAAAAAATTAAAGAGGGGTCCCATTCAAACTCATTTTACTAGGCTAGTATTAACTTGCTACTAGAGACAGACAAAGACACTATAAGAAAAGAAAATTACTTGCCAATATCCCTGATAAACATGCAGAAATCCTCAACAAAATACTAGCAAACTGAATTCAAAAGCACATTAAAAGGATCATTGACCATGATCAAGTGGAATTTATCCCTGTTATGCAAGGATAGTTCAATATGCACAAATCAGTACATGTGATGTACCACAATGACAGAATGAAGGATAAAACCATATAAACATTTCAACAGATGCAGAAAAATTATTAAACTTCATCTTTTAATAATAAAAACTTTCAACAAACTAGGAGTAGAAGCAATGTACTCCAACAAAATAAAGGCCATATCTTAACAGCTCACAGCTAACATACTCAATGGTGCAAAGCTGAAAGCTTTCCCTCTAATATCAAGAACAAGACAAAGATACTCATTTTTGTTACTGCTATTCAAAATAGTACTTGAAGTTCTAGATAGGAAAAGCAAGAGAAAGAAATTAAAAGCATCCAGATTTGAAATGGAGTTGTTAAATTGTCTCTGCTAGCAGATAACATTATCTTATATGTAGAAAATCCTAAAAATACCACCAATAAACTGTAAGACTAATAAATGAATTCGGTAAAGTTGTAGGATGTAGAATCCACATACAGGTATCAATGATACTAACAACAAACTATCTGAAAAAGAAAAATAAATCTGATTTACAATAGCATTAAAAAAAAACAAAAAACAAAAAACAAGACTCGGCACACCTGTGGCTCAAGCGGTGGCTAAGGCGCCAGCCACATATACCTAAGGTGGTGGGTTCGAATCCAGCCTGGGCCCGCCCAACAACAGTGATGGCTACAACCAAAAAATAGCCGGGCATTGTGGCAGGCGCCTGTAGTCCCAGCTACTTGGGAGGCTGAGGCAGGAGACTTGCTTGAGCCCAGGAGTTGGAGGTTGCTGCAAGGTGTGATGCCATAGCACTCTACCCAGGGGGACAGCTTGAGGCTCTGTCTCAAAAAACAAAACAAAACAAAAAACACTTAGAAATAAATTAAACCAAGGAGGTGAAAGATCTGTATGCTGAAAAGCTTAAAAGACTGATTAAAGAATTGAAGAAGGCACAAATAAATAAAAAGATATTTCATGTTCATGGGTTGGAAGAATATTGCTAAAATATTCTAGCAAAAGCAATCTACAGATTCAATGTAATTCCTATAAAATTCCAGTGGCATTTTTCACAGAAATAGAAATGAAATACTAAAATTCATATGGAACCAACAAAGATACCAAACAGTCAACGCAATGTTGAGCAATTAAGAACAAATGAGAGCCATCACACTAATTTCAAAATATACTAACATCAAAACATCATGGACCTGGCATAAAAACAGACATATCAAACATTGGAACACCATACAGAGCCAAGAAATAAACTCATATGCCTACAGTCAACTGATTATCAATGAGGGTGTCAAGAACACACAACGATGAAGGAACAATCTCTCTGATTAATGGTACTGGGAAAAGTATATATCCACATGCAGGATGAACTGGATTATTGTCTCACAGTATATACATAATTCTACTCAAAAGACCTGAAACTGTAATGTTTATAGGAGAAAATATGAGGGGAGAGCCTCATGATACTGGTTTGAGCAACAATTCTTTGCATATGTCCCCAAAAGCACAGGCAACAAAAGCAAAAATAGATAATCAGGACTGCATTCACACTAAAAGGCTTCTGCATTGCAAAGAAACTATTAATAAAGTGAAGAGACAATTCATGGTTTGGAATAAAATATCTGCAAACCATGTATTTGATAAGGGGTTAATTTCCAAACTGTAGTATATAAGGAACTCAAATAACCTAATAGCTTGAGAATAAATATCCCAATTAAAAAAATGGACCAAGGACCTGAATAGACATTTCTCAAAGACATACAAATGGCTAACAAATACATGAAACATTTGTTCAACATCACATTCGTCATGGAAATTCAAATTAAAAAACACAATGAAGGGTGGCACCTGGGCTCAGTGAGTAGGATGCCAGCTCCATATACTGAGGGTGGCGGGTTCAAAATTAGTATAGTCATTTAGAAAACAGTATGAAGGTTCTTTAGAAACTAAAATCAGAGCTACCAGCAATCTCATATTGGATATATAGCTAAAAGAATTGAAATCAGCATGTTGAAGAGGTATCTGTACTCTCATGTTCACTGTAGCATTTTTTACAATAGGTAAAATATGGAAGCAACCTAAGTGTCCACCAACAGATGAATAAAGGAAATGTGGCATGTATATGCAATGGAATA